TATTCTTAATAGTTATGAAATATTTTTAATAATTATCTAATTTAATAATATCTTTGTTAGAATCAACCGGGATAAAAAGGAAGAAATTGAACGAGAAGGTTAAGAGATTGGGTAAACCAAAGAACTTGTTAAAAAGATACGTAAAATTTCTAATTTTTTTCGGATTAAAAATTCTATTATCCTCGCAATGCCAAAATCAATAAAGAAGAAGTTAACAGTGTCTTTGATATCAGGTATATTCTATTTTTTTAATATTTTTGACATAATAGTTTATAATTAACTTCTATTTCAATCATTTTGTTATTTGCCATTCTATGTCAATATTAAAACTATGTTTGCTTAAATATTTTATTTCATTGTTCATATCATTATAATTCCAATATCAAAAATAGTATTATATTTAGTAAATTGATGACTAGAGAACAAGATTGTTATTTAAACACAAATGTTGCTTGTTCTTTGTGCGCAATAATTGTGAATTTTATTATAATTGATAAAGAATTTGAATATATAGATTTTGTTAAAAATTATAAAATTTGCCTTTTAGTGTCATAAAATACAACAATAGTGTTTATAATTTGAAGGAAGCAATCATAGTTTTATTCGGTTAATTGCATTCATAAGCATACATTAATGCAAATCAATTCTTTGTTAATTAGTACTACTGTTTATACATATATAAATAATTTTCTACATATAAAGTTTAAAATTTTTATCTTTTGCTTAATATTTAAGAAAGGAATAACTTCTTACTTTTTTATGAAAATAAAATGTAATTGTATTGATTTATTTAGATAAATGGAATAATGTCATGCGGAACATGCCTTATATCTTACTTACGGATATTATGAAGGAATACAAAAATGATGAAGCAAGCAATATTAAAAGTTCATTAAATGAATTGACAGTTGAAGGTTAGTATATAATAAAAGCAATTTATATTAGTTAATCAGATTCATAACTTATAGTGTTTAACATTGCAATGCAATGGATATACAATAAGCTTCTTATCTTCAAAATAAGTTCACGACTTTTTACCTTAAAAGTGTGTGTACTCTCAAAAAATTAATCAAATTAAAGAAAATTACTTTAATTAGATTATAATGCTACATTCAAAATAATTAAGAATTACTTATCTTTATTAATTATTGATTATTATATATAATGAATCTTTTGATATATGTATTGTAATTGTGTTATATTACAATTAATATAGTAGTACATAATTAATATCATATCAGTCATTTATGATATACACATACCTTAAAGAAACAATGTAATATTACAGCACGTACAATATTACTTGTAATATTACTATAATTTTACTTGTAATATATTGTATGCACTGTAATAATACATTGTTGGTTTTTTTATAGCGCATGTAGTATTATCACAGTGTACACAATATTAGAAGTAATATTGTACGCACTGTAATGATACTACATTGTTTTTTTCGTAGTGTATATATGTGATAAATTACTGATTTGATATTATATTTATACTGTTATATATATTAAGTTTGATAAGATTAATATTATATAATATGCATTATTTTTAATAATTTAACATATTTTACATTTTTATATGAACTTAATATTTAAACGAGATGGAACAACAACCGTCCACAAATTATGGAAAATTTGTAGCTACATTTTTGCGAAAAATGACCCAGGGATAAATACATTGATGTACATCTCTCATGAGAGATAATTATACCTGTGAATAATGGTAAAATATGGATGTTGTCGCAACAATTGAGTTAATATATCTAAATTATCTTTTTGGAAGAGTGTTTATATCTCCTTGTTGTTTGCAACTTTTTACTTTTTGATTGAATTTGGATTTGTAGAAAAATGAAATTTTTATCAATTTTGAATTATTATTCCTATTACTATTTATCCTTATATTATAAATATTATAATATGTATTATATATATATATATTTATTAAATATATATTAAAATTATAAATGAAAATAATATGCAAATATAGTTGAATGAATTTGTTTGGTAAAAGTTAAGACAATATTTGAGGTTATATCTAAAGTTATATCTAATGTATTTTTGATAATTAACATAATAACGGAAACAAAAAGAATAAATTTTGCAATTTATTAACGTAACTTCCCAGTGGGAAATAATGGTCAAATCGATGTCGATTCGTTGTCGAATTTATGTCAAATTCGTCGAATCGATGTCGAATCGATGACGATTCGACTAATCATTTCTCATTGGGTTTGTGTTAATTTAGATTACAACAAACATTTTGTTTGCATGAAACATTTAAAGATTGTTAATTATTAGTGTAAAAATAATATCTTAACATCTAGTGAAAATCTGCATTTGTTTGAAAATTTAATCTAACGTTATGGTGAATGAATTGAAAAATTGTATCTTCACTTTAAATGTTTTTCACATTTTTATAATAATAATTTATATTTGAGATAATTTAGTCACAATTTTACTTTAATATGTTACTATAATTTTTCTTAGTATAAATTTATAAATTTCTAGAAATATCTAAATGCCTATAATATATTTAACATATCTGAATATAAATAATTTTTGGAAAGCTTTTCCTATTCAATATCTTTACTTTTATTGATTTGATTTATTAAGAGTGTATTGTTTATATATTGCTTGCTTCTTCTAACGTGCATGTATACATATTAAATTCGCATCTTGCAGTTTTATGTACATAAACATGGTGTATATGATAATAATAATAGAAATTGTTTTAGCTGATTTACTTTCGTCAACACAATTAATGACAAAACCACTTCAAAATGTCGAACAAGTGGCGAACAAACAGTCTGTTAATGTAAATAATAGAGAATTACGATTACTTAAAAGACGCCAAGTTCGTGATAAAAATTAATATGTGATAGGTAATATTTGTTTATATTTATTAAGTATTCGTTTAATTTGTTCTTCTATGAAATAAAACCTAACCTAACTTTATTTTACTTTTAGTATATTTATATATTTTATATATATATCTTTATCATATTTCATTGGAAATTATGAGGAATTCATAATTTATAAAAGATTAATACTTTAAAAATTTTTATTTTTTTTTTTTTTTTTTAGTAAAGCTTTTTGTGTTTTTTATATTTTCGTTAATTGTTTATTAATCAATCATTTACATACATATATGTGATTAAATTACTTTCTTTAACAATTAATTCTTTCATCAAGTATTATTGATTATGTTGTTAGTAAATTAGAAATTATAAATTTTCCATTTATGTTTCTAATATTCACTTATTAAATATGAGTAATTGTAAAATATTGGATAATTGTTATAGAAGTTCATGTTGGAAAATGACAAAATAATGAAATATATCAAATATATGAATTTTTTCGCATATTCAAACTTTTAGTATTGTAACGTTTTTATTATTTCAATATTTTATTATTTTATTACTTTTAATCATATTGAGCGCAATTATTTTTTGTTAATGTTACTAAAAAGAAATTTTATATTTTTTATGTGTATAGTGATGAACAACTTCACCTTCCTTCTTCTCAATCATCCATTAGTAACACTAATATTATTCCGATCTGTAATGACTATGATGAAAATACATCAAAGAACAAGGAAAATATACCGATTTCCTCACCGCTGAGTTGTATACGTGACAGCAATGAAAATTTTATGCATTTTGTGGAAGAGAATGTTAGCAATATTTCTATTGATGGTATGCATTAAGAAATATAGTTTTTGACTCAAGTAAATATTATTTATTTTGTTTTATTAAATATACGTTTTAAAGACTTAATGTTAGTAAAGTATTGTATGCGTAGAAATTCTTATAAAACTTTTTCATAAAACAATGGAGAATTTAATCGAATTTTAGTTAAAAGTAGAATTTATATTTATATCATTAAATATTTTTGTATAATTTTACAGATAGTATTGAAAGAACAGATCATAATAATACTGAGTACATTTTTGATAACTCGAGTAGAAGTCTGAATAATGAGTTATTAGAAAAGGACTACAATGAGTGTCAGGATGATAATAACAGTAAGTCTTATTATCATATTTACTTTTTCGTTAAAATTTTGAAAGCATTAACTCATAACTTCTTATTTGTGTTTAAGAAGTTTTGCATTCAACGTTCACAGACAGTATTGAAAGAACATATAATAATACTGAGTACATTATTGACAACCCGACTAAAAGTCTCAATAATGAGTTATTAGAAAAGGACTACAATAATTGTCAGGACAATAACAGTAAGTCTTATTATCATTTATTTTTTCGTTAAAACTTTGAAAGCATTAATCCATGACTTATTATTTGTTTGTAAGTTTTGCATTCAAAATTTGAAAATTAGTATTTTTTTACTCGGATACATATATAATGCTTAACGTAATAAGAAAGTAATAATTTACTATAATTTACTAGATAAGTATAATAAAATATATAAATACCTAATATATATATATATATAAATGTATATATAATATATATATATATATATATAATATATAAAGCTAAATTAATATTAATCTATCCAATACACACTTTTTATACCAATTATGTATTCTAATATTTAATGTATGTTCTCTTTTATTAGGTCTGAAATGTTTTGATTCCACGACACATAAAGAAAATTCGGATTCAGAATATTGTCCTTCTGAACACAGTTCTATTTTGATAGAAACAGAATCTAATAATGACTTTCCTGATACAACTAATAATAGAAAGCAATTAAGTGGATCAAATAAAGATTCAAACAATTCGGGTTTTGAAGTATCTATACAGATTAATAACAGCAATGTAATTTGTCCTGATGACACTAATCTTAATATTGATCCATCTGAAGGATCTAAAGGTGGCAATAAGAAAAACTGCTGTTTTTATTGCCGAAAAATGCAATCAAAGATTGCTCGACATCTTGCTACAGTACATCGTAATAAACCTGAAGTTAAAAAGTTCATTGATCTTTGTCCAAATAATTTGGAAAGAAAAAAAATAATTGAAACAATAAGAAGAAATGGCAATTTTATTTATAACACTAATAGTAATATTAATGAAGGAAAACTTCTTGTATGCAGGCGCCCTCGAAAAGATAAGCAGAAAAGCGCAAAAGATTATACGGCTTGTGCAAAATGCAAGGGGTTTTTTGTGAAAACAAGTCTCAGACGCCATTTCAAACAATGTACAAGCTACGGTAGTAAACAAACTAGATCAGTGTTAGTTATGGGCAGAGCGGTTATTGGACGCATTAATCCAATTGCAGAAGAAACATTGCGAAAAGTAGTTTTTCCTGCACTCAGAGAGGATGAAATAACACGTTTGATTCGATATGACGAGTTAATTATTATGTTTGGTAACAGATTATGCCGTAAATATCGCAAACAATATCAGCATAAGTTAATTCGTTCACATCTTAGATATCTTGGTCGTTTCTTAAAAGTAATGAGAGACTTAAATGCTCAAGTTACAGACATGAAGTCAATTTTTCAGCCAACATTTTATGAAGATTGTATCAAAGCAGTTAATAGGATGTCTGCATTTGACGATAGCACAAATACATACAAAGTGACAACAACACCACAACTAATGGGAACTTTACTTAAAAAAGTAGGAAATCTTTTAATTACTCAAAGTATAAAGAAGAAAGATTATGAAACGAAAAAAGATACTGAAGAATTCCTTGCTCTTCTCGTTGATGATTTTCCAACTAGTGTTAATAAAGCTGCTTTGGAAGCGCAGGAAGAAAATAGAAGATGTAAAAAACGGAACTACCTTCAATGGACGATATTATAAAACTTCGCGATTATCTTGATGAAAAACGTAAAGTACTGTGCGAGTTTTTAAAGGAAGCATTTTGTTATACTAGTTGGTTGGAATTAGCAAAAGTAACTCTAACGTCAGTGCAATTATTTAATCGTCGTAGAGCGGGCGAAATAGAACACCTTCTTATTAAAGATTTTGAGAATTACGTACAGATTTCAGAAAGCACAGATAAAGACTTATTTCAATCTCTGTCAGGTGCAGCACGAGAAATTGCAAGAAAATATGTGAGATTTACTATACGTGGAAAATTAATGCGTACTGTTCCTGTATTACTATCAGCTCAATTATTTAAATGTATTGAATTGATTTTAAAATATCGAGAAAATGCTCGTGTTCCTTCTACAAATCCGTATTTATTTGGAATTCCGGGATATAATAAAAGTTGTTTTAAGTATTTAAATGCTTGCGAATTAATGAGACAATTTTCCACGCTATGTGGTGCTAAACGACCATGGACCTTACGTGGAACGGGTCTCAGAAAACACGTTGCTACGATAAGTGTAGCTTTAGATTTATCAGAAAATGATGTTTCTGATTTAGCAAAACATATGGGTCATGCCATGGCAATACATAAAGAAATCTATAGGCAACCCATTGTAAGCAGAGATATTGTACGGATGTCACAAGTATTAGAAAAAGCACAAGGCGTCGATAACGATGAAGATAACGAATCCGATAGTAGTCACGAAAACGGTAACATTTCAATAGAGACTAATATTAATTCATTCTCTGAAATGGATAAGGAATACAGTATATCCATTAATAGCAAATCAAGAAAAAACACTCATGGAAGTGCGAAGAAACGTAATAGTACGTAAATTTATTTTCATATACAGCAATATCTAGATAATATTACTGTACATATATGTAGCAATAATGATATTAATTAATGCAACTACTAATTGTTATATAGCTTTACCATATGGTCGTATAAATATAAATTCATCATCTGAAATGGAGATGGAATATAGTATCTCCAATAATAGCAAATCAGGAAAAAACACGCATGGAAGTGCGAAGAAACGGAATAGTACGTAAATTAATTTTCATATAGAGTTAGCAATATGTAGATAATGTTACGGTACATGTATATAGCAATAATGATATTAATTAATGTAACTACTAATTGTTTTATAGCTCCACCTTATGGTCGTACTAAACGCATTTGATGGACGAATGAAGAAAAACAAATAGTCATTAAAAACTTTGGTGATTATATAAAAACCAAGAAGTTGCCGTCTATAAAAGCGATACAAGAAGTTATTGCAAAAACTCCTTGTTTACAAAATCGATCTGCATCAGTTATAAAAACATGGATAAATAATCAGCAAAAAAGCAATAGACTACTGCATTAATCAATGGATGAAACAATGCAATAGATTTAACCATATGTTGCCGCGCTCCCATAAATGTACGATTTCATTTAGTTACTCTAATATTCTTCAAAAACTTTCACTTAATTATTTCTTTTATGTTAACATAAAATGTGTATTATGCACACTATGAATTTAATATCTCTAAAATTTATTTTATGAACATTACTTATCAATTCATACATAATATAACAATATATGACAACACATTATTGCTATGTGACACTTCGCATATATTTCTATTAAATCGTCGCGTCAATCTGAAAAATTAATTCTGTAGATCTATGAATCTGATATATTGAATATAATTTGTGCAAATCCAACAGCACATAATTTTATTATTTTCCTGTTTAAAAATTACTGCTTCCAGTATCTTTATTTCTATCGTATTATCGTATTATTAAAAGTATTCTTATGAATGTAGAAATTTGTTTTATTATGTTAATAATTTTCAAAGTCTTGCATTTCATGATTGACTTGATAAAATTATTTCTTTTAAGTTGAAATGTATCAGGTTTATAATTATCTTATATATAATACTTAATAATATCACGCGTAACAATTTATATATATAGTGTGACAACTCATTACATTGCTATCTAATAATTCATACTTCTGAATGCATCAATTTTAAAAGTGAATTCTAATAAATTATGAACATTATATATTAGATATAATTTCAGCAAAACCAGCAGCACGCATACAATTTATTTCATTATTATATTGTAAACATTTTTGTTTAAAAGTTATTATGCTTTAAGTTTTTATATTTATGATTATGTTTTTATGATATAAAGCTTTTATGATATGTCATATCTGTATTAGTAGTGCTACTATGAATTTGCGATTTCATTATGTTACTCTAGTATTAATCAAAAACTTGCATTTAACAATTGATTTAATAAAACTATTTTTTATGTTAAAAGGAAAAGTATATGTATGTGTGTTAACTGTCAAGAGAAATATGTATTAAATGTTACATAATAATCATTGTTACATTATGTATGAATTTGTTATATAATATTCATAAATTTTAGACATTAATATAAACTTGATATAATTTTATGGAAACCATCAGTGCGCATACTGATGGTTTCTTTAAAATTATATCAAGTTTATATTAATGTCTAATATTTATAACAAATTTATACATAACATAACTATATGTAACAATGATTACTATATAACATTTCATACATATTTCTATTAAATATATTAATCAGAAGAGTAAATTCTGTGGAATTATGAACTTGATATATTAGATATTCATGCAAAACCAATACAGATAATTAATCCAGCACATTTAATTAATTTTATCATTTTTATGTTTAAAAATTATTGTGCTTCAAGTATTCTTATGTTTAAGTTGCATTATTAAAAGTGTTCTCAAGAATGTAGAAATTCTTTATATTTCTTTTGTAATGTTTAAGAGCTTGTATTTTATGACTGACTTGATGAAACTATTTTTTATATTAAAATAAAATGTGTTCTCTAATGGTTTCCCTAAAATTGTATTAAACATAATATAATATAAGTTTATAGTTACTGAATCTAATGTATAATATTCATTAATATCACATAACAATTCGTATATAGTGTAACAATGTGTGACAACTCATGATTGCTATGTAACAATTCATACTTCTATTTAATACATTAAAAAGTAAATTCTGAAAAATTGATAAGACATGTTAAACTTGATATATTACATATAATTTTAACAAAACCAGCAGCCCACATATAATTTATTTTGTTTTCATATTGTAAATATTTTTGTTTAAAAGTTACTGCGCTTCTAGTTTTTATGTATTATGATATAAAAGTGTTATGAATCTACGAGTTTGTTATTTGATTTAATAAACTTCTAGTTAACTTCTAGTAAACTGCTTTAATAGTTTAATCTCATTAAATGATTGGTTTAATAGTTTAATCTCATTAAATGATTGGTTTAATAGTTTAATCCCATTAAATGATTGGTTTAATAGTTTAATCCTATTAAATGATTGGTAAATGATCCTAGTATACATAAACTAATAATAACCCCTCAATATTATATTTTGCCATAATGTAAATATATTATATACAAAGTATATTGTTAAAATTAATGAAGTCGCCAGTGATGAGTAAAACCATACAAATTTATTGAAATTTCGACCTAACTGGCCAGTACAATTTAATTAGAAACACTACGTTTCGACCCTTAGGTACGGGTCCTTTTCAAGTGTAACTTTCAAGATGTTGATTTGATAGCAGTAAAATTACTGAGTTATCATTCGTATCATGAGTACTTATTAGTAATTTTACTGCTGTCGAATCAACATCTTGAAAGTTACACTTGAAAAGGACCCGTACTTAAGGGTTGAAACGTAGTTTCTAATTAAATTGTACTGGCCAGTTAGGTCAAAATTTCAATAAATTTGTAAAGTATATTGTATTGCAATTATATAGCTGTAAAGGAAATTATCGTATTGATGTGATGTTATCGTTAGTTAACATGTATTTTAATTCGTTTATGCATTTAGATATGATTTAAGAATGAATGTAAAACCAGTAAATATTTTAACCTTTTTGTAATAAATATTCTAAAAAGAGTTATTTTTCTACATTAATAAATCAAATTATTATATATATATGTTTTGTTTTATCTTGTAGATCATGTTATTCTAATCTGTATATATTAAATATTGGCGATTACAAATTAGAATTTAACTAATAAAAACGAAAGAAACTAAAATTTTTGTCTTGATTGTTAAAATTTCAATCTTCAATCTCTAATCTCAATCTTCAATGCGTTATCTGATATAGGATTAAGACCAGTAAGAAACCTCAAAAAAAGAGGAGCTACAACTGATCATCGTGATTGTCTGGCATAATATGTGCTACTTCGACATTGCGACGCCAATGCAAATACTGAAAGGTGTTAAACGTGGGTAGTTAGTGATCGTTGATTATAATAATCATAAAACATATTACAAATTTTTTACGAAATAGAAAGTAAATACACATTACACATTTGACATCCTATGGTTGCGTCGCAATGCCGAAATAGCACATATGCCAGCCAATCACGAATAGTTGGTTACATGATCATTGTCGCTTCTCTCTCCTTGAGGTTCTTTACCCGGTCTTAATCCTATATCAGACTACGCATTAAAGATTAAAATTAGAGATGAAAATTAAAATTTTACCAATTAAGACAAAAATTTTAGTTTCTTTTAAGTCGGTATTACAACTTTTTGGAACAATGTCACAATGTCTTGTTTTTTTATTTAAATGCGTATAGAGATAGACAGATTAAAAGCCGAGCGTAGTAATGCGTGTGCAAATTTTAAACAGTTAGTATTCTATTATATACGAGGTGTGTTCAAAAAGTATCGCGAATTTTGAATTTCCGCGGGTTACGTATATTCGATTTTCGATTTTTTTGTGGCGTTATGTTAGTACTCATGTTTCTCATTTATGCCGACAAGTACGGCCATTTTGAATGTTCAGTTAATTTTTGACAGCTGCTTTGCTTGCACGTGTTTTGGCTCGTCTTCGATTTTTGCCTATTCCAAAAAATGGATCAAAGAATCTGTATCAAATTTTGTGTGAAAAACAAAATTAAGTGCGCGGACGCATTCCGAATGTTGACTGTGGCATATGGTGAAGCTACCTTGGACCGAAGCAACGTTTATCGGTGGTACAAAATGTTTTCCGAGGGCCGAGAAGATGTGAACGACGAAGAGCGTGCCGGACGCCCGAGCACGTCAACAACAGACGAAAACATTGATGAAGTGAAGAAAATAGTATTGGTCAATCGTCGAATCACCGTTAGAGAAGTTGCTGAGGACCTAAACATATCGATTGGCTCGTGCCATTCGATTTTTGTGGAAGAACAAAAATTGGCTTTTGCACCATGATAACGCCCCTGCTTACACATCGTTGCTTGTGCGCAAATTTTTGGCCAAAAACAACACACTAATAATGCCGCAGCCACCGTATTCCCCAGATCTGGCCCCCTGTGACTTTTTCTTGTTCCCGAAACTGAAGAGGCCCATGAAAGGACGACGCTACGCTACGATTGAGGAGATAAAGACGGCATCGAAGGAGGAGCTGAACAAGATCACAAAAAATGATTTTTTGAAGTGCTTCGAGGATTGGAAAAAACGTTGGCACAAGTGTATAATATCTGGTGGGGATTACTTTGAAGGGGACAAAATAGATATTCATGAATAAATAAATAATTTTTGAAAAAACACAAAATTCGCGATACTTTTTGAACACACCTCGTATATATATATATGTATATATATGATTCATATGTTTAGATCCCATTATCGAACCATCTTCAGCAACTGTCAATACAAAAAATTCAAAACAAATATAAATGAAATTGAATAAGTTGGATGCCAATGAAATTAAACTCAAGGGTGATATTTTTTAAACGACCAATTGGCTAATAATGGTAAAATTATTTTATTTTATTTTTACAGCTACGTTTCGTCCCTGAATTAGGTCCTCTTCAGGCTGATATTTAATGTCAAGTTAGGTTAACCTTTTCACATGATATTATATGTGATTGTTAATTTCTGTAAATTAATCGTGATAGCTCAAATTAAAATTCAGTCATCATTTTACAGTATGCACTGAGTAAGAGTTCAACATAAACTGCTTGAGTTTATGTTGAACTCTTATTTATTATCAGTGCACACTGTAAAATAATGACTGAATTTTAATTTACGTATGGTCATTTCAGGAACTGTCACGATTAATTTATAGAAATTGACAATTATCCTAAACGGTTGGTCAAACTTCGATGGATGCTTTGAGAAGTCTTTTGTTTTTTTCTTTTTTATCGACAAAATATGCGATTAGATAAACTATAAATCTATTTATTTGCTATACGGATTATTTTCTACCTAAAATTAGAACGCTTTGCCCTTTACTAATATTAATACTTTAATTTGTACAGGAAAAAGATTTATCAATCTGTATAATCTCATATTTCTTGATTACAAAATTATGAATTCTTATTCTGTACCGAATAACCAATAAATAGATTTATAGTTTATCTAACCTCATATTTTGTCGATAAAAAAGAAAAAACAAAAGACTTCTCAAAGCATCTGTCGGAGTTCGGCCAACCGTTTAGGATTCCCTTAATGTCCTTTATTATTATTTATAATTAAAACTAGCTTTTGATAAATTCACCAATATAAAGTTCATTTAAAATGTATTTAATCTTTTTATGATATATGTCCTGGAAATGTTATTTTCGTATCTTACATAATGTCCTGGAAAAATATTTTTGCTTATACAAAACTTATCACATTA